AAATTTTAATTATAGATTTCAATTTCACATACAATATTATTGGTCCAATTTTTATTTCACTTCGGTTTATAAAAATTCGGATTAACGGGGCAATTTTACATATAAATGGCTTCAAAAAACTTAAAAATTTCTTCGGTTTACGGTTTATAAAGTTTTATTAGTGACATTCATATTAACGGGGTAATTTACATATGTTTGGCTTTGGGTGTTTTAAAAATTATTCATTTTAACGGGGTTTTCGGATTAACGGGTTCGGATTAACGGGGTTGCCTATGTATATAGAAGTTGGAATTTTTTTTTTTGGAGTCACGTTTGTACAAACATTTTTTCGTTCACTGGGGCGTTTGACAATAACATGGGGAAGCATAGTGGACATTTGATTTCATTGGCTGTTGATCATCACAAATTTATCCAAATTTTATTTGGTCAATTTTGTATATATACAAAAAAATAAAAAAATCATAACGTCATTAATGCATGACTAGGTTTTTTATTATACAGCCTAATGTTTTATTTACTCTTCTTTGACTTCATAAATTGTTGATTTATATTCATCACTATATCATCTATTATATAATATATATCGGTCATTTTCCTATTCAAATAAATTGGTGGACGTGAATATAAACATAAATGTAAATATAAATAACCTATGAATAAATTTTTTAAACATGTTTACATTACTTTATATTATCTCCCCATAAAATCATGATGTCGATTCAAGTAATTGTTATTGTTTAAAAAACTTTTTTCATTTTTTATATATTAAGGGTAGGGGGAATCACGTGATAATTTAATACAAAATCCAAGGATCAAAATTTGACTTTCCAAAATCAATAATTGTCTTAAAGGCGAAGCTACATGAGACGCATTCAAATAACTCCTGTGTTATTTTATACATGTATTCTGCTGTATAGTAGTTATTGAAAGTGTTTTTGAATAAAATGTTCTTTTAAAATTCTTCAAAAAACAAAACTCATCCCTAATTAGAGAAACTCATCCCATATTAAAAAAAACTCATCCCATATTAACATATACTCATCCCTTAGTAACAAATATCCATTTCACATCTAAAATACTTAAAATTTATTATTATCATAGTAATAGGAAAACTTATTGGACATTTTGTGATGATCAATATTGAAACCAATAAAAAATTTTTTTGATCCATGATTTACTATTGATTTATCACGTGATTCCCCCTACCCTTAAACAATCTTTAATTTTTTCTCTTCTTTTAAATATTATCTCATTGTGAAAAAATATGATATAACCTACTCATCCCGTGTTAGAAAAATTTGAATATAAGTAAATCAAATAAATATATAAAAATAAAATATTTCTTTCTTTAAAGTATAATGAGAATATAAAATAAGTCTATACCTGCAGTATAATAATGATTTATTAAAAATAAAATAAATAATAATAATAAAGGTTGCAATTCTGGCATAAATAGATCACGGAATCCTTAAACTTTTGTTTCTAATATAACATATTGAAATCAATTTGATCAATTTGATCATTTTTTATTAAAATGTAAAGAAAGGTCTAAAATATATATCAATGTAAAAAAAAAGATGTGTTTCATAAAATATATTCTAAATTCAATTGAAATCACCTGTTTTACAATATAAAAAAATCAACAATCGATTTTGTCACAAAGTGATAAAACGAATGTCATGGGGGATTGGGGTGTTAGATACAAATATAATCACAAACATAGGGGAAACCAAATAATAAAATCAATTAGTAAGGGTTTTGTACCACATAAATATGTTGATCAAATTTTAAAATATTTTTTTGCTATTTACAGTATTAACAAGCGGGAAACTTAAAAAGTTTATAACTTTGGAAGCAACATAGCTACAAAAAAAATTGAAAGTGTTTTTAATCTTTAAGAATCTTATCTACAACTTAACAACGCTATTTTTTTTGTTTAATATAATTTTTTTAAATTTTTATGTATTGATAGTTATTCGGAATTTATGACAAAACAACATGAAAGTCATCAATGTTAATAAATATTTTTAAAATATGGCTCTGTTAAATTGTAGAGACATATTCTGTGAGCTCAAAACATTTTTCAGAATTAAAAATTCTTGTCTGTATGATGAGTTATAACAGTTTTCATGAAAAGCGATTTTCTTTAATAATTTAATTTTAATATTAAATATAAATGGATTTTAACAGTCGGGAACTTAAAACGTTTATAACTTTGGAAGCAACATAGCTACAAAAAAAATTGAAAGAGTTTTTAATTTTTAAAGAACTTGTCTACAACGTAACAACGCTATTTTTTTTGTTTAATATATTTTTTTTAAATTTATATGTATTGACAGTTATTTAGAATTTATGACAAAACAACATGAAAGTACATCAATGTTAATAAATATTTTTAAAATATGGCTCTGTTACATTGTAGAGACATGATTTGCGAGCTCAAAACATTTTTCAGAATTAAAAATTCTTGTCTGTATGATGAGTTCATGAAAAGCGATTTTCTTTAATAAAAATTAAAATGGATTTTAACAGTCAGAAACTTAAAACGTTTATAACTTTGGAAGCAACATAGCCACAAAAAAAAATTGAAAGTGTTTTTAATCTTTAAAAACCTTATCTACAACGTAACAATGCTATTTTTTTTGTTTAATATAATTTTTTTAAATTTTTATGTATTGATAGTTATTCGGAATTTATGACAAAACAACATGAAAGTCATCAATGTTAATAAATATTTTTAAAATATGGCTCTGTTATATTGTAGAGACATATTCTGCGAGCTTAAAACATTTTTCAGAATTAAAAATTTTTGTCTGTATGATGAGTTATAACAGTTTTCATGAAAAGCGATTTTCTTTAATAATTTAAATATAAATTAAAATGGATTTTAACAGTCGGGAACTTAAAACGTTTATAACTTTGGAAGCAAAATAGCCACAAAAAAAATTGAAAGTGTTTTTAATCTCTAAGAACCTTATCTACAACGTAACAATGCTATTTTTTTTTGTTTAAATATAATTATGGTGAGTTAGAACAGTTTATGAAAAGGCGATTTTCTTATTTTAACAATCAAAATCTTAAAACGTTTATAACTTTGGAAGCAAAATAGCTAGAAAAAAAATTTGAAGTGTTTTTAATTATTAAGAACCTTATCTATAACGTAACAACGCCCTTTTTTTTGTTTATTATGATTTTTTAAATTTTGCATTAGTAGACATCTAGAATTTATGACAAAAATTGCTTTTTCAATATGAAGTACATTAATATTGATAAATATGGCTCTGTTAAATTGTAGATGTATACTCTGCAAGCTCAAAAAAATTTTCAGAATTAAAAAATCTCATCTGTATGGTGAGTTATAACAGTTTACGTTTCTTTAATTAATTAATAGTAATTTGAGTTTATGAAAATGATCGACAAAAAATCTCTACTATTAGGTTTTATTATTTGGTTTCCCCTATGTTTGCGATTATACTTATATCTAACACCCCAATAACTCACGTTTTTTACGAGCACGAACAAACCCTGCTAAGTACCAGTACTCCTTGTTGGAACAGCTCACAACTTTTTCATCTGAACTCACTGCTGTAAACAGATCTTTTCTTCCAGGATCCAGTCCAAATACTTTGCATCCATTTAAATCAATATTTAATCCTTCATCAACATCCTCTTTATCATCACCAACTTTCTTCTGCAGACCAACTGATACTGCAAGACCATCAGTTTGTATGGAGTAAGCAAAGATTCGATTTTGGGTGGTGACTTTATTAATATTAAATGCTTCCATCCACCAAATTTCCTTTTCAGTTCTGAATCTTTGAATGGTTGTTACTCCTACTTTTTCAATTGATTTGTACATATAATATAAAGCATCAGTATCAACTAATATGTACTTTTGTTGGAAAGAGTATTCAGGCAGAAGTGTGAAGAGACAGAGACCACATTCCCTGTTATGTTTGGTAAAGGTGCACAGGATTTTATGAAGACCTGAAAGATATGACCACCAGGATGCTTTTATAGACACATCATCAAGAGCTTGATTTTGGAATAATGTCTGTTGCACTTTCAAATGAATATATTGAATGCGGGTAGTAAGGTAAATTAGGTATTGTGGATGTGATGTAGAGAGTTTATCAATGGGGCATGCTGCAACAAAACCAGACAAAGTGAACATTGGTATTACCAAAGATTTCAGGGGTCAAAATTTGGTCATTATCATCACAATTAGTTTTATAATGTCCCATTTGTTAAGTGATATATAGAACTATACCTATATAAAAATAGTTAATATGAAACTAATTTACATCAGATCTACTATGGAGCCCAAAAATTATAGCACCATTAGAAGTATTTTGAAAAAGGAACAAGGTGAAGAAATTGCTCCTTATATTTTAAAATAAATGATACTCAAACACTGGAAGCTTATCTAAGAAAAGAAAGGATTGCTTATGAAATTTATCAAGAGGGAAGAAAAATAATAAATGTTAGAAAAAGAAAGCAGGATGAAAGTGTACTTTTACCTAATAAAAAGCAGAAATCTTTGAAAGTAGTGTTCCTAACCGAAAATCAAATTTTTTACGAATATTCAAAATCAATTTATTCAAGGATATTCGAATATATATAATTTATTTCGTAATTATTATGGATACTTGTAATTATTATGGATACTTGTAATTATTATGGATACTTGTAATTATTATGGATACTTGTAATTATTTTGGATACTTGTAATTATTTTGGATACTCATAATAATTTTGGATACTTACAAATGATTATCGATTGATAACAAATAGTACTAACTTATTTATATTTTATCATATTATCTAATAAAAATTTTTAAAGATAATAAAAAAATAACTTATATTGTTACAACAATTTAAATATTTTTTCAGAAACATTTTCATTTACTCTCTCTTATAGAAAATGTTTTCTTTCTCATAGAAACGTTTTCATTTATAAAATAACTCTTTCTCATTCTTGAGTTTCTCAACTTTCAAATATGAATGGTTCAATTGATTTAACATTAAAAGATGAGCCAACTCAAGTTTATGAAGAATATGAAAGATATCCAACAACCGATTCTGAAACCTTATCATCCATTTTGCCATTACCAAATAATTCATTGACCACTACCAGCCAAAAAAATCATTATAAGAGAGGTAGGTCTTGTGAGAGTTTCATTTGGCAACACTTTAGTGATCATGATTTGAATAATGTTTCTATTTTAAAACAAATATTGCAACCTGATAATGATGTGGTTGGTGACTATAATGAAATATCATATTATCTTTCTAGTAATGTAAGGAATGATATTGATCCTTTTAAATAGTGGAATGGAAACAAAAATAATTTTCCCATTTTAACAAAATTGGCAAAAAATTTTTATGCATCTCAGCTACATCTGTTGCTTCTGAGATTATTTAGTGATGTAGGAAATATTATTACTGCCAAAAGGGCTAATCTAAAACCTGAACGAGTGGGAAAGATGGTATTTCTGAAACGTAATTTAAAAATAATTCAACCATTTTCTTAAAATTTTCAATGTTTTTTTCTTTTATAGCAAATATAATTTAGTAGATACATTTGTGGTTTGTTGAATATTTAAATATTTACAAATACAAGTATTTTAAATATTTTAAATAAAGTATTTGAAATATCTGAAATAATTAATAATCACAAGTATCCAAAATAATTACAAGCATCCATAATAATTACAAGTATCCATAATAATTACAAGCATCCATAATAATTACAAGCATCCATAATAATTACGAGTATCCAAAATAATTACAAGTATCCAAAATAATTACGAGTATCCAAAATAATTACGAGTATCCAAAATAATATTCGAAATTCGTAATTTTGGATTTACGAATATTCAAATATGGAGTTATAATTATGGTTAGGAACTCTATTTCACACAAATTAGAATTTTTTAAAAATTCTACTTTATTGCTCTTTTTTAGTTTCTATTATATTTCAATTCCTATTGATTTCACTCTGATTTTAAAAAATTCTTTAATGTAATATGAAATGCTCATTATATCAATAAAAATAAAATTTATTCGTGTATTATGATCTGAATCATATTTTCTTATATTATTACAGATTGTATCACCTAATTATAATCAATCCGGATCATATCCTACCTTTACAGTGTCATCCAAATATATCGATCATATATAACATAATAAATTCCGGAAACAATTCCAGAGGAATCAACACATGCAAAAGTAAACATGATTGTTTATGATAAATCAACCACCAGGGCCAGCTTTATTGATAAAATAAAAATAAAATACAGAGTAAGGATATAATATATATTCTATAAATCAATATCTAATAATTTCTTGGTGAAGAATACGTGTTGACATCATTGACGATGATGGAGTCTGTTCCTCAAAAATTGGTAGAAGATTTATCTCATCTTTTATACTTACCGACATTCCAACAATTTTTTCAGCTAGGGCACTCAGACCTAGAGTACTTCCTAAAAAACCTTCAACAGATTGGCGTGAGGAAATTCGTAAAGGTATAGTAACCGATAAAACTGGTAAAAACTCCTTCGAATAAATCTAACACGGAAACAAATCCTATCACTTGGATTCCTAATACGGAAAATTTTCCTAATTCAGAGTGTATTAATTTTGCTTTGGAAGGAGTATTCTCTCTCTTTTCGAAAAAACGTTATATTGTTCATCGAAACAATCTTTAAAAATACGAACCAACCTTTTCCAATCCAAAACTTCTTTACCCTGTTCTGGAAATAAACGCGAAATCTTCACTAGAACCAACTCATTTTCCTTCATATCTAACTTCAATAAAATCTTCCCTAAATTAGTAGAACCCATCCGATTTTTCTACTCTGTGAAGATTTGTTATTTAGGAAGGCAAGGAGTAGTATTAAAAAGTTTAAATGATTCAAGTAATCTAGGAAAAGGCTTTTTTGATGAGGTTAGCAGTTGTCATTTATAACAAAATAAACACTGTGTTATATAATATTAATTGATTTTATATTCAATGTTAGGCAATAAATTATTGTAATTCTATCGCAGAGTTTATTTTGTTAATTATTATTCTTTTGCTATCCAGGCGAAGACGATAATATAAAGGTAATGAATAAATATAGGAAACGAATTATAGAAAATTAAAGGCTTATATATATATCGTGACCTCACAATATATATATATACATTAGATTTCGATCAAAAAATCGATAACTCGATCAATCAATATTGCAAAAATATTATAAAGACCCCATGATTATTTACACAGATCGCAGTAATTCTATAATCCTTATAAAAAGCTTCGTTTGAGTAAGGATTATGTAAGAAGATAATTTTTACATTGATTATAATTGTTGCATATTTGAAAGTCTTTGATTAGCATAATGATTATCACGTAATGCTTCCTTTCTGGAGCACGAGATCCTTCTCTACATGAAACGGCTTGAAATAATTTCCGAATAAGGTTATAATTAATTATTGGTATTTGATCTGGAACCACTCTATAAAGTTGTTCCTTCAATGGTAATAATAGTACTAATTCTGGTTGGCTGAATCATCAAGCAAGATAATAAGTTTTTTTTTGCTCGACTAACTTTTTGTAACGGACAATCTTTACTGGTTATACGTTGATGTTCAAGAGTGCCATATTTTGAGATATGGTAGATTTTCAGAAAACATTGTTCTGCGCTTTTGACTTGTCATTTTCTTAAAAGTTCTGTAATTAATAGACATATTATTATTATCAATTAAATAAATTACTATTAATTATTAGTTATTAAAGAGAATTGAATTGCTATTGTTAATACTTAACTATTAAAAAAGAATTAATTACCATTATCTTATTATTGAAGAATTAAATAAACAACAAGTGAAAAAAAAAGATTTGTTTTTTGATGAAGTTAAATAAGATTTTGAAATTCCAATGTGGATATATTACGTATCCTTTGTTTGTAGTAATCAAAAAAATAATAATGAAAAATTATTTCTAAATTTGACAGTTAATTTTCAAATTTATAAATAATCTTTTACAAATATAACAATTTCTTTATCCTTCTTAGGATTGTTGTTAATAATGCTGATGTTGCCACAAATGTTTGAGATGATAACAAGAAGGTAAAGATAATCCATATATATTATCTTAATGGTATTATTATTATTAAACTATTATTCTTTAGATTATAATGGTATAACAAAAGTCGTGGACATTAATCATCTCTTATTGTATATGCATACGATTTCTCATTTTTTACACCTGTTTATTGTTCTGATAATATTGTTTTGATTTTTGGTTTTTGATAAATTATTGAATTTATACCAGAAATAAGAAATCTATTCCAGATGAACCTTTTGTAGATATTATTGAGCCATATTTAGATTATTAATAATCAATCCAAAAGAGCTTAACTGTAATTAATTAAACCAACATCAACATCAACATTGATTATAAAAGTTCCAACATGTTGACATCTAATAATGATAAAATTTATATTTAAGAACCACGATTTCTATGGTAGAATTGGTAATCCATCTATATACGCTGATGCGTATAATTATTTTTGAGACTTTTGATAAAAGATTTGAGAAAATGAAGAATTGGTATTGAATTTATATGTCACTGTGAAAAGGCCACGCCAATTAAATAAAAGAAAATATTACTATTATATGTGATTTTTAAATAAATAAATATTATTTATTAATACATGTATACCTTCATGTAGTCAGTCAATTAAAGAATTCATTATTAAATTTTATCGAAAATAAAAAACTTGGTGATTGATATTTATTATTAAGATACATATACTGTACACACATATCATTATGCAAGTTTAATTGCCCATTATAATTAAAATTTACATTTTTATTTTATAAAGATAATCAACTTATATCGTTACATTCATATTCATTATAGTTATAATTGAAAGTTCACTTTATATTAAAAAAACAAAATTTAATTTAAAATGTAATTTACATCTATGTACTGTATATAATACAAACAAACATTATTATTATTTAAAGAATTGAAATAAAAAAGCCGTTATTTAAATATTGGTGGCCGGTTTTGTTTATTACGTTGTATTCTTATGAATAACCAATCTATTGCTTCTTTTACCCCGATTCTACAATAGTCAAGAAATTAATAATATTATAATAAAATAACAACAACAATAATATTCACCTATCAATGATAATTAATTAAATAAATAAATTACCCTTCTAAAGCAGAAATTGGTAAAACTCTTGAATCTCTTGCTCCTAATTTTAAAGCAATTTTATTGAAAATTTCTTTAATTTCTTCAACTTTAAGAGCATTAGGTATATCTTGTTTATTGGCCAGCATTAATACTGGCACACCTTCTACTTCATCATTTGTAATTATTTTTTCTAATTATTAAAAGAAGGAGAAGAATTTATTAATATTTTTTTTGCCTATTTTTTTATTTTTTACTATAATTTTTTACATAATATAATAATAATAACAATAATAACTACCAAATATTTCTTTACATCGTTCAATTCTTTTTTTGTCAATTGAATCCACTACAAATATAATACCATGACATTCACTGTAATATTTTTCCCATATGTTGTGAAGTTCTTCTTGTCCCCCTAAATCCCAAAAAATTAATCTTGATCTATTTATATCAATTTTTCCAACTAAATAAATATTTTAATTTTGTAAAGAATTAATAACAAATAAATTAAAATAGTATATCCATAGTGTTAATGACTTACTATTTAAACCAACAGTTGGTGCAATTTTGTCCGGCGATAAACCAGTGACTCCAAGAAATAACGATTTAACACGTTCTAAAAGTGTCTTATTCAATAACAAACAATAATTTATCAACGATTAAAAAATTACATTTTAAATCTCTAGTTTTTTTCCCTTGTATAAATAATATTCGTTTCTAAATATTTGTCAATTTACCGTTTTACCAGCATTATCAAGTCCTAATATAATCACATAGTACTCTTCTCTCCTTGTAAGATATTGGTGTAAACCACTAAACAAAGTATACATTATTATTATTTATTATTTATGTTTTATTTTATTTCAAAAATTGACATTTATTATTAATTAATTAATTAATTAATCAAATTATGAGCAAAATTCGTGTAACTTCCACAGATTGTATTAAAAATTAATATTTGTTCACTGTAATTACAAAACCGTGATTTTGATGGCATAATGCCAGGCAATAAGCTAATACTGAAATCAACGAATTTACTTTGTAAAAAGGATCAGTGTGAATAGAAAAAAACTAAATTATTAATTTATGTACGAATTGGTGATTTTTAAGATAATCGGTTGTAATTACATTTAGCATAATAGACATAGTAATAGCAAAGTGCGATTTTTTTATAAATTGTATTCGGGATTGGTAAATTTGATGATTGGCTATGACACTAAAGGATAGTAACAAACCCAAATTTACTGGCTTTGTGTCTGGAACGCAAACACCAATGAAAGCAGGAATTCTTGAAAAAGAAAACGCTTATTTTCTTGCTGTAAATCTAAAAATCAATTAAAATAATTTTCATGTGATTAACATAAAGATTAATAGTTGTAGATCGTAGATTTCCAAATAAAATATAAAATTTAAGAAAAAAAATGGTATCTTCCTCCTCTTCACAAAAAATTCATTTACCTAATTCCAAAATGTCTTTTGATAGTAAACTTATCGAAATAATTCATGGTAAAAAAAAATTATAATTATTTTTTGCTTAAATAAAAAAAAATCACGTATATAGTTTTTTTAAAATCATTAATTATTTATTCAATTAATATAATGCATATATGTATATAATGACAACAGATAATAAATTTGCAGCACCACTTCTTACCAGTTTTGCTGTTATTGGTGCTTTGTTTTTTTCTTTAAAGTCTTTAAGTTTTTTACGAATGTTATATGATGTTTATATTCGACCTGGAAAAAGCGTAAATAATAAACTTCTTTAATGGATATTTTGTTTTTGATGGAAAAATTAAAATCGATTATTTAAAATTAAATTATTTAGTTAAAGCATTTTGGAGCAGGAAAAGATACTTGGGCTGGTAAAAATTAATAATAAATTATTCTATGGTTATAAAAACATATATAAATAAATTGATTTAATCTATCATTTTATAGTTATAACTGGTGCATCTGATGGAATTGGGAAAGAATTTGCTTTACAACTTGCAGAAGCTAAGTTTAATGTTTTATTAATCTCAAGAACCTTATCAAAATTACAAGATCTATCAAGTGAAATTGGTTTGTGTTTTCCAATAAATTTTATCTATTTTTATTATTATTTTGAAATTAAATATAATTTTTTAATTTTCTATTAGAAAGTAAATACAATGTTAAAAGTAAAGTATATCCAATGAATTTTGCCAGAGGTGATCCAAAAGATTATGAAAACTTGAAAAATATTATTAAAGAGTTTGATGTTGGGGTTTTAATTAATAATGTTGGTACAAATCATGATATTCCTACACCTTTTACTCTGGAATCTGATGAAGTAATTCATGACATTGTTGAAGTGAATATTGCTTCACTTTTAAAAATCACTAAAATTGTTTTACCACAAATGTTACCAAAGTAAGTTTTTTTCTTACAAGAGAGAGAATGTGCGTGTTTGTGTTTATGTGAATACACGCATATATTTACACTCTGATTTATTAATATATTATTATATATGTTTACTTACTTCAATTAAAGCAATAAAGGACTTATCATTAATATCGGTTCATTTTCTGGGATGATTGCCACACCATATTTATCAGTATATTCTGGTTCTAAATCCTTCATGAATACATGGACACAAGCATTAGGTACTGAACTTAAATCTAAAGGCATCATTGTGGAAAATGTAAACACATATTTCGTGGTCTCAGCTATGTCCAAAATAAGAAGATCATCGTTCTTGGTTCCATTGCCTAAACCTTACGTTAAATCTGTTTTATCAAAAATTGGTGTTGCTGGTGGAGCTTCTTATGTCCCATTCAACACTAATGTTTTTCCATCACACGCTTTGGCAAATTGGTTAATTACCAATACATTTAGTTGGAGTTTTTGGGTTAAAAAAGGATTAGGTAAATAAACAAATAAATTATTACGACAAGTATATGCATAGATAGATCGGATATTGATTAATAATTTTAAACAACTTTTAATTATTAGCACAACAAGAAGATATTAGAAAGCGCGCGTTAAGAAAAAGAGAGCGTGAGGCTGCAGCAACTAAATCACAATAACTATACATATATTTTTCATTAATTAATTCGCTAAATCAAACCAATAAAAATTTATTCATCAATTAATTGTTAATAATGAATTTATTATATGGAGCATACTGCAACAAAACCAGACAAAGTAAACATTAGTGGCGGTTAAATAAAACTTGGCAAATTAGTCAAATCATGGTGATATCATGATATTGACGAATTTATAATGTTACTATATATTTGTTTCATGCTTCGTGTTTTTACACATTTTCATTTGATCGAATGTTCCTTCTGCCTTTGGGCACAAAATTAACATAGACAAACCACCAAAAATCAATAGTAATATTTAAGAAATAATGATGTGACCTATGGATGATCAGCTCAGATATCTGTAAAACAATTCGGTCGTATGGATGGGCTTTTTTAAAAAAGCATCAGAATACGGATGTAAATTTTAGAGATTACTACTATTGTTCACTTTGTCTGGTTTTGTTGCAAGCCTGCCCAGAGTAATAGATCTTGTCACACATAATGTTGATCAAATATGCGGTTTTTTTAAAAACTCTTTGCAGTTCAGTTTTATTCTACAAGACTTGAGCTAATAAAGAGACATTTTTGGTTACAGAGAATTGCATGATAAGCCATCCAATTTTTTGTTGTATCAAGCGATCTAAATACATAAACATTAGATTTTTTCATAATAATAAAAACCAACAATAATTGGGGCCAGATAAATGATCTTATATTTAAAAGACTAACCATAGATATATTTAAAATAATAATAAGTTACACGGAATTCCTTTTTTATTTAGTAATTTGTATATAGTATATAATCTTGTTACGAAGTGGCTGAAAATTTCATTCGTTCGTTGAAACAAGATTACCAATCGCGTTTCAACGAATTTTTATATGTTTTCATAATGTGTTTTAAAAGTTTGTTGAAACAAGAATTTAATTATAATTCGTTGAAATAAGGTTTCAAATACAAGCACAACGGAACAGTTGCAGGATAAATTTCACATCAAAACATTTGTGTTAATGCTTATCAAAATTCTTGGGGAAAAAGGCCTTTTCATTCATTGATTATCAATCCTCCACCCTTTTATAAATGAAGCTTAATTCACCTTTATAATTATTCGTAAATTGAGTCTTTACTACAATAATAATTAAAGGAATTTTTTTGGTTTTTTTTCAAATTGCTTTTTTAATAAATAATTCATTATTGATAAAGAATTCTCACTATAGTGATATTATACCACACAACAAATTCCACTATTAGCGTGAATTCAATAATAGTGTATTCGTTATGAAATAAGAGAATATAGCTTTAACAAATAGAAAAAAGAATTTCGTAACATCAACTAATTTAAAAATGAAGATTTTATATAAATAGTACGTTGATTAATCGGGGAGATGGGTCTTTACTAGGTAATTTATATTTATTAAAAAATTCATTCATTTTTTCTTCCCAAAAACAATTCTTCATTTCATTAATATATAATAACAAAAGTGGTAATAGTGTGAGGTAGAAATTTATAATTAAAATTTTGGGCTACAAAATTCTGAATTTCACGCGCGTAAATTTAAAATTTACAAATTCATCACACAACACGCATGCATATATATATATTAAAGAGGTTTTACTTTTGACCATGGCCAGGCTTGATTTGAGCTTACGAGTAATTCTTGAATGATGTAGCCTTTTGTTTTAACTCTGGAAAAGTGCAACAACTATCAGGGACGAGAAAAGGCAATTTACATTTTACTATTACTATTGACAGGTTCGCTGCCTAGGTTTATGAGGAAAATAAATCAACTGTAAAGAATTAGGAACCTTTAAATTGAACCTTCCAATTATCATGACCCTCGATAGGAAACAGGTAATAATTACACCCGAACCGGCCTAGCTCGGAGCCGTAGTTAAAGGTAACCAAGATTTTCTTTGATTGGATAATATAGTTATAATCTTGTTACGACGAATCTTTCAACGAATTTTTAAAAATATCGTCACACATTATGAAATTCGTTGAAACGCGATCCATCTACTTCGTTGTAATAAGGTTATACTTTATACAGTCCTTGATAATGAAAATTTTGATGTTAGACTTGGCGATGGTATTAGAGTTAATTACATTTTAAATTAATCATCTGGTAATCAAGAATCCGTTAAATCAAAAACACATTAGATCGAGATCCACAGAAAGATGTCATCTTGATTATTAATATTTATACTGTGTCGTTGTTGTTGATATTATTGATCTCTTGGGAGATCATTCATTGCATTTAATATTAAAACATACCATGCGCATCATGCATCTTCACATAAAGAAATCAAGAAAAAAATAAAATCAAATTGTAATTTTTTTTATAACCTTTATTATTATTATGATTTCCAAGAATATTTTGTAAATATTGCAGCCATGAATTATATGGAGGTGTTGCAAGGTGTGCCAATCATTCCTTAGCCCCGAGAATAATAATAATGATAATAATAATAATACATATAAAAAATCAACCTTTAAACTATTTTATTGATAAAGAACAAGCTGGATTATCTGGAGGAAAAAACTTTCCACCACTTTACTTCATAATGTACACGAAGAAGTAAAGCGAGAAGTTGATACATTGATAGAAAAGGCTGAATACTATAATTTGACTTTACAGAAAATTAAAAAAAAAATGTGCATTGTGCATTAGTGCGCATGCGCATCATGCATATTATTAATATGCGCACGAAATTTTAAAAATTCTCATCTCTACTTCTAGTATTACTATCCATTTCTTCTTGTCTTCATACAAACCTATCACATGAAAATCAGATTTTTTTTTGAAAATGTCAAATTCAAAAAATTTTTTTTCGACTATACAAGGAATACCCAAATATTTCAAAAAAGTTTATTTTTTCCATGTTCCATCTAATTTAAAGGATATTTTAACTAGACACACTACCAGTACTTTTAGTATTAGAGTAAGAATATCTCAAAATTCCATTTTTTGTCCAAATTTACCTTTAGAAAACGATATATCATCAAGTAATAAAAATGGCTTATATAATAGTATTTTTAATGGTTTTAAATTTTTCAGAGGATCAAAAATAAAGAATGTAATTTCAGTCTTTAAAAATAAGAATGCTCACTACCACCACTACCACCACCACCATTATCATCAACGCTTTCATAAGCAACACCAAACATTTAATAATTTGTATAGTTTATTTTTAATAACATCTTTTCGCAACGCTTTCACATTATTGGCCTCAAATCACAATAATAACAATAATAGTCCATCATCATTATCTCTAATGGATCATGAAGATTTTAAAAATACAGAATCACAAGAAATCATAAAATCAACAAATTTTATCAAAAGATTAATTGATTTTATATCAGATTATATTATTGAACCAATACTAATAACATTTAGATTTATTTATTTGTTTGGTTTATTTTTTCCATTAATTATTGGGTCACCGTTAATATTTGTTGGAAAGAGAATTCCAGAATATTACAATGAGAGAAAGGGGACATTGTATTGGTATGATATGTTAGTAAGAAGAATGGAGATTGCTGGACCAACATTTATTAAACTTGCACAATGGGCAGCTTCTAGAACTGATATTTTCCCACAAGAAATGTGCCTACGTCTTTCTAAACTTCATTCAGCAGTGGATCCTCATCCATTCGAATTTACAAAGAAAATAATTGAAAAATTTTTCAACGAACCTCTTGAACAAGTTTTTTCAGAGTTTGATCAAATTCCAATTGGCGTTGGGGCTATTGCACAAGTATTTATACTATTCTTCGCCCAAAGGGTTGAATAATGATGATGATGATAATTTATTATTTTTATACGATAATAATATAGGTTTATAAAGCATCAATTCGACCTGAATTTTTGAAATCTAGTCAAGGTTTTGGTGATTTTAATGATTGTTCAGAGAATATAAAAATTTTTCTAAAAAAACCAACAGTAGCAATTAAAGTATTACATCCAAAAGCCGAGAAAATGATTAAAAGAGATTTAAAGATATTATTGGTATTTGCCAGGATATTTAACACAATACCTAATATGCAATGGCTATCATTTCCTGAAGAAGTGTTGAAGTTTGGTGAGATGATGCAATCCCAATTGGACTTGAGGATTGAAGCATATAATCTACTAGAATTTCAAAAAAATTTCAAGGAAAGATATGCAGTAAAGTTTCCAACTCCTTTGATCAAATATTCTACAAAAGATATGTTAATTGAAGAGTATAAAGATGCTTTACCAATTAGTTTATTTTTAGAAAATGGGTGTGGTGCTTATGGTAGTAGAATTGCTGATATGGGTAAGATTCATTAATCATCATTGCTTGTATTTATATATATATATATATATACATAGGTTGGTGTGAGTATGTGATTTTTTAAATGTATGCTGTTCATTAACATATATTTATTTATAATCAATTAATTAGGTCTCGATGCATTTCTGGTATTGTTATTATTATTTAGGGGGGATAATTGTTTTAATATTTACACACTTGTTTATTTCATTTTTTATAATAATAATTTAGAATATGCTTATAATTGATAATTTCGTACATGCTGATTTACATCCTGGTAATATTATGGTTAGATTTTATAAACCAAATATATATTCAATGATTTATCATGTTTGGTCAAGCCTTCTTGGAAATATTCTGAGTGAAAACAATGATAATAGCAGCAACAGTAATTATGATGAAGAAATAAAAGATGAACAAGAATCATTGATTGTAACAAGACGATTACAAGATGCTAGTCATGACAAAAATCAATGGTTAGAGGAATTGATAAGATTATGTAATGAAGGGTATCAACCACAAATCATATTTTTAGATACTGGACTAATAACAAGTTTGAATAAGATAAATAGGCGTAATTTTTTAGATTTGTTTAATGCAGTAGCAGAATTTGATGGATATAGAGCTGGTAGACTTATGATTGATAGGTGTAAGACACCTGAGTTGGTTATAGATGGGGAAATATATGCATTGAAAATGCAACATTTAGTATTGAATGTTAAAAGTAAAACCTTCAAATTGGGAAAAATAAAAATATCAGATATTTTAACAGATGTTTTAAGGATGGTAAGGAATCATCATGTGAAATTAGAAGGGGATTTTATAAATGTTATCATATCAATATTGTTACTTGAAGGCATTGGTAGACAAATAGATCCTAATATGGATTTATTAAAAAGTTCTTTACCAATTTTAAGAAAGTTGAGTGCTCAGAAAGCGAGTAAAAGAGTAATTGAGGGTATTAAAGAAACACAAAGTGATGATGATATTGATGGTTCTATTGGTGACACTCAATGGTTAAAATTCTGGATATGGTTAGAAGCTAGAGAGTGGGTTAGTGATGTATCATGGGAGGATTATAAAGTAATGTTTGAAAGAAATATTTGGTGGCCTGACATGTAATTTTTCCTATTATAATAATATTTATAAATCTTCAGTCATATCTTAAAATTTTTTACATAAAAAAAAAAAATAAAAAAATATCAGATAATTAGTTACCATGTGCGTCTTTTCCACTATTATCACTAGAAGAATAATAATCAGTAACACGTTGTTAAATTGAATATTGCAATAGTATTTGAAACAATATCCGTTTTACCTAAAAAAGCATTTTCTGAAGACATTTTCTAATAATGCATCATTCCAATATTCTGGTGCAGTTCCAACATTTCCATGCCATTTTTTGCCTCTTCCTTCTGTTTTACACATAGCTATAATAATAATAAATAAAATAATCTTATTATTAACTGTATCCCGTCATTGTTCCACTTGGTGATTCTTCCGAACAAAAAGATCTAGCCATCTTGATAAATATGTAGTATTATATATATATTGATTAATTAATTCTAATTCCAAAATTCCAAAAAAATAAAATGAATTCATAACCTTAACAATAGCAATTTTAGTACAACGGATTTTAGTTGAAATGAGGTTTGACTGCTACATATCAATTTAATATTTAAAAATATAGATTTAGGAATCCGGTTGAATCACTTTACATTCGACCCGATTCGGATTATTCTGAGCTTTATTCCATTTATTTTGGCTAGCAATTAATTCGTTTCTTGCCCAGGTTTAGTTTGATAATAGCCGATAGTCGATTTTTCTTTTATTGAAGGTGTAAGTTCATTTTCATCCTTGATCAGCTTTATTAAATTCCTTCTTGACTAATTTGAACAGCTGAGACATGAGAAGACTTATTTGGTTTGATATTAGTCTCTATTTCGCAAGTAGCAAATAATTTGCTACCACAATCAGTCAACCGATACAAAATAAATTTTTCAATTCTACAGAATAAAATGTCTTTGGTTTCCATTTTACCGAGATTAATTTTTTTTAGTTACTTGTTCGCGAGCAAGATTATTATTTAATTTATAACCAAGGATCTTTTGCAAAGTTTATATTTGAATATTTGTAAAGATGTAGAATTTTTCAGTAAGCTAACAATTGAAAAAAAGATTGCTAATCCATGTTGTTTTATGTACTTCTTCAAAACCACTTCTAGCCAAGTATTCAATATTATTAATCCACTATATGAGATCCAGTTTATATTGCTACAATATTTTTGCAACCATCACATTTTTTTCAATAATAATAAATTCATCCATCACCTATTAATTTTAATTCATTTAAGGACTTGTATAATTTATTTATTAATTTAACAGAATCCATTTTTTTCAGAAATAAAAAAATATTAATGTATTAGTATAATGTGATGAATAGAATGTGAGTTGATGATAAAACATAGTGTCCAGAATTATAGAGTTTCGCAATCACGCGGGACTTCGCCATAAGTTGAACTCGTTTTGACTTTTGACTTTTCTTTATTTTATACATATTAACAATCTCTAAATATATATGCTTGGGATATTTAGGTGATAGCATTTAATCAAAAACTCGTTGAGTTATCTCAAAATATTATCTATAGTCAGATCATTCTTGAAGTAAGAAAATTTCAAGTATTTATATTTATATTTACATACGTCTAAATAATTTTTCAGAAAGTTAATCACAACAAAAAAAAATTATCAAAATCATTCAATTTTGCCGAAGGCCAGAAATTTTATTGTAGAATTTCTCAATTAAATGCAAAACAACTTTAATAATTTGTCATTTAATATAAAAAATAAAATATAACAATATTAATATAAATTTTGACTCTTTAAATTGATGTGCAATGTTGGTTTCCATGCCAGTTTTCTTGTTTGTTCTTTATTTTTAAGGGTAGAACATGTGAAGACTCGTAAAAATGCTTTTTTTTTCCTCAATAAAATTCGGATTTAGTTTGAACATAATAACAAAGTTTTAAGTGAATTGACCTTTTTTCAATCACATCACGATATAGTGGTGACATACAAATACTTTTTATATTTTAAGAAATAATATAAGTGAAAAATATTTATTTTCGATTTCGTTTTGTAAAAGATTTAATTGTACCTTTTCTCATATGAAGCACATTTTGCTTTTAGAGTTTTGAATTGATTTCGAAGTTTTAAAACAGTTTTATTAAAGTTCAATCATTTGTGAATAGTTGAATAATTCTTATTCGAATAGAAACTCCAATTAAAAAATAATTTACACAAACGCAAAAAACTTTTTCTTTTAAAAAAAAAAAAATGTATAGATATGTTCTTTGACATTTGTTCCATAACGCAAAAAAATTATATTATTTATAATACTAAAGTAAAGTACCATTTTTTTATACAAAGTGTCAATTAATAAAATTTGTGATTCTTTGTATTATTATATATCTCAGTTGCAGTGGGTATGACAAGCACGTGCCTAAATGTTGAGGCCAGATGCATTGGTGCCAAGTAGTGTTGGCCGTCAAAACTATTTTAAAGAGACGAAAGTCAAAACTAAAATTAAAAGTTATATATGTCAACACTAAATCAAAAATCAAAAGTCAAAACTAGTTCGAATTATGGCGAAACCTTTTGACTTTTGCACAGCTGCAAAACTCTATAGTTTTGGGAATTAACACTAGTACCAAATAAAAAAATACAGACACTTTGGCAATTGCACTAGTGCCTGGAATGGTAAAACAGTGTCTGGAGTGATGCCAATGGTGTCAATGGTGCCAATGGTTCCCAGTATGGGCTTGCAGAACCATTGTGGAAATAAACAACAAGCGATACAAGTGTTGGAAAAAAATATATACCTCACGTATAACCACCAATCCTTATTTCCGACACAATCCTTGCGACTAACATAATTACTGACACTACCTCGAATACAACTGTCACCTCTGACATAATCGCCATCAGTCAAAAAATGGAGAACTGCAACAATGATCCAGCAAAAGAGTAATTGTTGCATTTGTATGAAAGGATTTTTATAAAGAAACTTTGTTGTCTCTAATATATTGGTCGTCTTATAGTTTTAAGTTTAAATATAACAAGAAAAAATTGACAGTTCTGTTCTCAAATGCAAAATATTGACACAGTCTGATATAGTGTTTCTAACTGAAAATCCAATTTTTTTACGAATATTCGAAAATCGATTTAGATACTCGTAATTATTTTGGATACTTAGAGGTTGGAATCGCCCAAAAAATCCTTAGTCGACTACTAGTTGGTCAAAAATTTCTTTAATCGACTAATAAGTCGACTAAATTTTTTTTTATAATAATAATATTTCGTTTTTTTTTTTTTTTAATTTGCAAATTACCATTTGAATCTTTTCACTTTTTCAAAATGCTTCTACACAAAACCATGTGTTACGATTCGTTTTTTTAAAGATCTTCTGGAACCACCGCTTAAATAATTGGAATGAACTATTGGACCTTGTATTGGAAGTGTTTATTCATTCTCATGTAAAATTATCATTAACAACACCACTACTATTGTTGTCATCATCATATTGATGGTATTGACACTCTTCCGCATAGAGATTTTCCATTTTGAATGATAAACACAAAAATCGTAATTGGTCAGACAATAATAATATTAGCATGGTATTAGTGTTAGTATTAGTATTAGTAGTATTAGTAGTCGACTAATTAGTCGACTAAAATAGTAATAGTCAACTAAATAATCGACTAAAATAGTCGACTAAATAATCAATTAAAATAGTCGATTATTAGTTGTTGAAAAAAAGTTTAGTCGACTATTTTAGTCGATTCCAACCTCTATGGATGCTCGTATTATTTTGAATATTATGATAATATTGTAACAATTCATGAATGATTATCTATTGATAACAAATAGTACTTACTAACTTATTTGTAACTTATCCTATATACTACATATATTTTTACAATAATTAAAATATTTGTTCAGAAAACATTTTCATTTAAAAAAGTAATTCTTTCAAAACCCAAATGGAATTTGCAGAAAATTCTTTTCCTAATATTTCAATTGTATAAATCTTTTTTAAATGTCATAATATTCTTACACCTGATAAAAATTTTTTTTGATTTTTATAATAATATAATTTGTTAATAATTTTTTGATATGAACAATCAAATTGATGTTGTCCAAAAAGAAACTTTATCAATTAAAGAACAAGAAAAAATCAATAATAGTTTGTTAGAATTTATACAAATAATGAGCATTCAACGAGTATCCGAAATAATATTCGACATCGTAATTTTGAGTCTGAAAATTATATTTATATTAATAAGGAATAAATTATCCTTTAATTATCTTAGCACATTTCAATGGATAAATTACAGAATTTTTAATATAAATACAAGTAGTCTGAAAAAAACATTTTTTTAATATTAATTAAATTCTAATTTCCTTACTATTTATTATTGGTTAATTTACGAGTGTACGTCCACATTACCATTTTTGATTCTTTGGTTTCATTCATTCATTTATTTATTTTAAATCATCAACAAAAACCGTTAAAAAAAAACCAAAATTTAAAAATGGATATAGATCCCAAGCCTCTTAAAAAAACTAAAAGAACAACTAAAATGGAATATAGGTATTTAGGAAACAGTGGACTTAAAGTGTCGGTTATTTCTCTTGGTGGATGGGTAACTTTTGGTGGTCAAGTTGCTCCTGGTATTTAATTGATTAATGACCAAAATTAAATTTGATCTACATTTTGCATTTTAAAAATATTTACTTTCTTTCTCAAATATAATATAATAGAAACTACAAGAGAATGTATGCAAATAGCATTTGAGAATGGGGTAAATTATTTTGACACAGCTGAAGTATACGCTGGTGGGAAATCTGAATTAGATATGGGCAATGCAATCAAAATTTTGGATTGGAAACGTTCAGATTTTGTAATTTCAACAAAGATATTTTGGGGTGGAAAAGGTCCTAATGATAGAGGGTTATCTAGAAAGCATATCGTTGAGGGGCTGAATGCTTCTTTAAAAAGATTAGGTTTAGACTATGTAGATTTAGTATATGCACATCGACCAGATCCTGATACAGTAAGTTAATAATGTTGCTTAATGAAAATGATGATTAGAATTAATTAGATCAACAAGATGATGGTGTGATGATGATGATAAATCTTTTAACTCGCATGTATTTATATTTATTTTCAGCCAATGGAAGAAATAGTTAGAGCATTTAATTTTGTGATTGATCAGGGTAAAGCATATTATTGGGGAACATCTGAATGGCCAGCTGATCAAATTGTTGAAGCACATGGCATAGCAAATAGATTGGGTCTAATATCTCCATTGGTACATTAATATAGTATTATTATTACCTTTATCATTTAATAAGGAATAATCATTATAATTAAATACTTTCATTTTCTCCTTCTTCTCTTCTTCTAATATTAATTAGGTCGAACAAGTAAGTTGACAATCAATTAATGAATTGAATATTTAAATAATCAATCGACCAATCAATCATTACAACAACAATTATGATATGATCGTTATAGGTGCAATATAATATGTTTCATCGAGAAAGGGTTGAAAATGAATATCTTCATTTGTTTAAAGAATATAAAATGGGAGCAGCTACATGGTCACCACTTGCAAGCGGCATCCTAACAGGTAAACATAATAGACAAATAGCTGAAGGATCAAGACTAACTCTAAGGGAGAATGCTGTAATGCAACGTTTAAAAGAAGAACTGTTGAGCAATCAAGGGAAAACTAAGCTTGAAAAGGTTGAGAATTTAAAGGTAATCTACATAATTTATTAGGATAATGTATTCTGTTTTTTTTTTAAAAAAAATTTAATTTATACTTTACATGAACTTATTAGCCAATTGCTGATAGACTTAATGCTACATTGGCTCAACTTGCACTTGCATGGTAATTCTAATAATATCATAACAACTAATGATTAATAATTAATTATTAATATTATTTGGTTCTTTTCTTTCCCTCATAAAATTATCAAAGGTGTCTTAAACAATCAAATGTAAACACTGTGATCACAGGTGTTTCTAAAACAGAACAAATTTATGAGAACATAAATGCAGTAGGATTAGTTTCAAAATTAACACCAGAAATCTTGGAAGAAATTGAATCAATATTGGACAACAAACCACCAATGCCATTTAATTTTAGAGATTCATAATTACCTTGTAACATTAATATCTCTAGACAAGTTGTTAAATGATTGTATTTTTTATTTTACTCGTTCCCTTTAGCTAATCAATAGTTATCAATAACAACGTGTTTACACTTTATACATTTACTTTTGGAAAAAAAGAAAAATAATAAAATATCATATACGAATGTCCGAATATTATTATAAATAGAAAAAGCTTGTAAAATTACTAGGTAGTATAATGACATGAAAATTTTTCAAATGAATGACTTAATAGAATAAATAAATATATTAAAGATAATGACTTGAGTAATTTAATATATTAGTACACTTGCTGCAATTATCATTTACTACCACCTGCTATTCCGAGTAGACTACCTTTCTTATTATTATTATATTTTTATAATACAAGTCACTAGTAATAGCATGCTTAATGCTGCTAAGGGAACACTGAAACTGATAATTGTCCGAGGATTATCAACAAATATCATTTCTGTTACAGCATCAGCAGTTATCGTTACTGTCTTGGTAAATTCTGCTATTGTTGAGGTTGCATTCTCGACTAGCTCTGCAATCTCACATACTCAAATAGAATCAATATAAATAGTGTTATTTCCAAGATAACACCTGGAGGTAAAACAAATTCTTGATCTGCTGGGATACTTTTACCAAAATCAAGTGTTTTTTGTGGTGTTTTGAATATCAAGTATTTTATGACTGTAATTCCTCCTGGTTTGCCGCCAATTCTGCCTCTTATCTCTGTTAAACCCATTACCAACAAAAATCAACTGGCTTTTGATCAAGACTTTTAGACCTTCGCCCAGCTTATTACCTCGGTGTTCATATGATGTTCCATTTTTTGTCACGCATTATAGACAAATCGGATAGTTTCTCTATTTTTAATATTAATATTAAAACATTTGAAAAAAACGGAAATTTTACGTGAGCTAAAAACTTGTATAGCTTCCCGAAATTAAGTCTATGTAATAAACTTATATTTCGAAAATAAATATAGAGAGAGATCTTTGTGATTGAAGATTAAATATAAAATGCCTACTTCAAGACAAGGAACTCAACGTCAAGCTATATTACATTTATGGGATATGTGCCAAAGAAATAACTGAATAAAAAAATTGATGATTTGAATCATGCTAGAGGAAATGGTTGTCAAACTACGGAAGCCTCAAGAGCTTTAGGGCAATATATATATGAGAGATTCATCAATTTCGACTAGGACATTGGCAACAAGTTATCAGTAAATCATGTACAAGTGTTTTACTCGACTATATACATGAAAAGTGGTATTTAAAAGCCTTGCTAATGGCTACATCAATGCTGACAATTGCTTACAAAGAAAATCATGTATATACAATGACCCAACGACATCTTAATGACAATTGGAATAAAACATTGTTACTGACGAAACATCCTTTTATTAATTAGAAATATTGTATAACGTTCATATAAGGATAAAAGGCCAGTTCAAAGAATCTCAAAGGACCGTACCCAAATTCATGCGTGGGGTGGTTTTTGTGTAGAAGGTAAACAAGCTTTTTTTGTTTTAAACAAATCATGGATACGTCATTTTATGTGAAAATACTTGACAAACACATTACAGAAATTGAAGAAATGCTTGGAGATGAATGAATTATTGTTTCAGGAGACCTAGCTTTCATATGATTATTACTTCAGGGCGTTGGTTAATAATATTATACGTCAAAATTTTCATTCAAAAATTTTATTGTTATAATTATGGCAAATAACGAGTAAACCTTATTACAACTAAATCGGGAAGATCCAAATCCTCCCTATAGCTAATTGTGGCTTCATAGAAAGTAGTCATCGCTGCTGCTGCTGCCATCAGCTAGACATATCCTGCCACAGTTAAAGTGGCAGCAGAGAGAATTGTAAAACCCATTTTTATTACACCAAAGTACTTTAAAATCATATAAATTTGAGATCGTCTGTCGATCAAATAAGAATTTTTTTTTTGGACGCGATTGATATTTTTTTTTTGGAAAATAAGACAAGGTGTTATTTATTAATAGCGAGAGGTACACTTATTATTATTTTTTATCAAGATAATAAACGATTGTATCGTTTTGTATTTTGATCATTAATAATGATATTAATATTTAAAATATATAATCACAAGAAAAGTCAAGGCAACATGACTGTTGCAGATGATATGTAATGTTGATTATCGGAAATTGGCTGACATCAAGCACATACAATATCTTAAACACTTTACAGTCATTCTTTCACATTCCTCATGCCCTATAAAATTTTTTTTCAGAGAATGTATGGTTTTCCATACATTTTCCGTGCATATTTTATATGGAATATGTGCAGAATTATACATAAAAAGAGCGCTTTTTGTATATATTTGCCCTGAAAATGACCTAAAAATACATTCCGTACATTTTCCGTGAATTCGTATGGATGTTAATATTAAGCACAGAAAATGTACGTAATGTAATTTTTCAGGTCATTTTCCGAAAATTCCATACATCTTCCATGTACTTTACACACATTTTCAGTGCATTTTTAGGGCAAATATGTACAGAGAAGCGCTCTTTTTATGTATAATTCTGCACATATTTCATACGGAGTATCCGGAAAATGTATGGAAAAACCATACATTTTCTGACTAAATTTTTTATAGGGGTGAACGTTTTATCAATTATTAAATAATCATATAGACGGGTTTGATCGAAGTAAGAGTTAGTCAAGGTCTATGAAGCTTAAAAAACGAATTTTTATCAATTATTCAATAATCATATAGGCGGGTTTGATCGAAATAAGTGTTAAAGTCAAGGTCTATGAACTTGCAAATCAAGTTTGCAAAATGAACGTTTTATCAATTATTCAATACTATATAGGCGAGTTTGATCAAATTAAGCGTTAAAATCAAGATTTATGAAGCCTAAAATTCAGCTTTGGAAAATGAATCTATAGACGGATCCAAGCATTTTAGTAATAAACAAATAATCAATTCAATTGTCAATTAATTAAGAAGTAACCGAATAATAAATTCAATTGTAAAATGCATAATGCTTTTCTTAAAAGTAAACAAATCAATGATAATAATAGTAAAAAATGTTTTTTTAGCATTTTTAGTAATAAATAAATAATTAATTAATTAAACGTTTTTTTAAATCAATGGTACGATCCAAAAAAAAGCAGGACAAATGATAATAATAGTAAAAATGTTTTTAATAGAATGGTGCTTTTTTTATAAACAAATCAACGTATGATCTTCATCACACTAACTAAATATTAAACGAAAAAAGAAAGATGCTTCGCCATCACCAAAAAGTTATTCATAGTAGCATATATGATGAAATAAATAAATAAAAAACAATAATGAATTCAATTGTTGAAATTAAATAGCTCTTCTTAAATGTAAAATAAACAAAATTTTTTATTCTTACCAAGCAGTTCTCTTCGGTCGGGAAAAAACGATATATTATTATTGCACGATAAATGTTTATCACGTGGAAAAAAGGTATTTATTTTTCATAGTCTCTTTGTGTCATGTGATTTTATAGTATTGTGACACCAAAAATAGCGCGCCATTAATTGACAAGGGGAAATTTTGTTAATCCATCTAACAGCCCAGATTTGAATCCTATAGAAGTTCATGAAACATTGTTGAAAGAAAAGGATGTTGCAAAATTTATGCAAAGTGTTCCACATAGTGTCTTAATTAATTTAGTAAATTCTACGCGATGTCTTGTAATACAAATAATGGAGAACGTATACCATATTAATTTTTATTAATAAAATCTGCTGTTTTTAAGCTTTTAAATGGCCAAGTGTTTTTTTTTTTGCAACACACTGTATATTAATATAATTTTATTGTTGGTTTTCATTCAAAAATACATTAAACAAATTATATTTTTTTATTTATATATGATGACAAAAATCAAAATTACAGTTTATAATATTTTTATGCGACATCTTTTTAAATTTACGTTTGTATGATTATGATTATGACTATGACTATTATTATGTTATTATTTTTAAGAGCGAGAAGGAGCATAAACTTTATATTTTTACCTTATCATTCAGTTGTAAGTTTAACATGAAATTCATCAACAGTACTATAAAGCAATCCATCTGAACACATTTGTTCAACAGCATTTCTAAATAGTTGTGGAAATATTTAAATATGCATCATAATAATAATTGATATACTAATACATAATAATAAATATGCTTACACAACAATCATATCAGATCCATGTTTGTTTGATAAAGCATTTGCCATTTGATTAATATTAGTTCCAGCATCATTCTTATTGTTAGTAACAAAAGCAATTATGTCTTTGTATAATGGATTCTTTAAGTTCAGTGTATTAATATTACTAGATCTAGATTCTGGTTGATAACTTGAAATTGTACCAAAATTATTAGTTCCTTGATTATAATTTTCTTTCAGGAGTGTGCGAGGTCCCTGGAATATATATATATAGTTCATACAGAAGATTATTAGAAACTTTATTCAAATCAAATAAAATATTTCACGAAAAAATAAAAGGATAAATATTTACCACATTTTTTGTAAAGTACAAATGGTCAAAGACAACACGACCAATATAAGAACTGATTTCATTGAAATCAGTAACAGGTCTTATTCTTGAAGCTAACACATATCGATCCTTGTTAAGAGCTTTTAGATTTCCAAATACAGTAACATATGCATTTTCCCTACAAATATAAATACATTAATTAGTTGAAATATATGATGTATGCGTGTATATATATATGTATAATTTTATTCTTACTTAATGTCATCATTTTTTGCATTCGCTTCATCAGCACTATCTTGCCAAATCTTCACAGAAATCAGTCCAGTACCGTCCTCCATTATGTATTCAGTGTTAGAAAGACGAGAGGAAACACTAGTAATCACTGCTATAAATGTAATCTGTATCAAAATCATAACGTTTTTTTTATTAAAAATATAAAAATTATGAAAATAAACAAATGGAATGAAAATGGCTTCATACTTACATATCCAATTTCATGTCCATCTACTTTAATTACACTATTATCATCACTTACTTCGGCTTGATCTAATTGTTTGATTGTAACATGTCTGAGTAATTGGGAAGCTTTATTATATGTCTAACATATACATATGCACGAAGAAAACAATTATGAATTAAAAATAGATTTATTTATTGTAAAGTATTTTTTATTGTATCTATCTTTTAAAACTAACTTGTGATGATGTTTCATCAAGTGCACCATATGATTCATAATCTGAAGGATTAGAATTTGTGCTACCACTAGAAAATCTACTGGGGTTATTGGTAGAATTAAACTCTGGAAAACCTAAATAAGTACTTCCTAAAAAAATAAAACGCTTATTATCAGAATACCTCAGACATTTTAAAATAATAATATTGTTTTAGCAATTTTTGAAAATCGTTACCTGACATTTTTGATTTTTTTTTTTTGATTTTTTGAAGAAAACTCGTGTATTATTTCTTTTATTTATTTTTATAATACTCCTTTGTTACACGACTAGATTCTGATTAGATTAAAATTATTCGATTTGATTTGATTTGATTTGATTTGATCGAGATTAAATAAATAAATTTATCCGAAAATCTTTTGAAGAGAAAATTAAATTACTTTTATTATGCATTTCCTTGCTTGCCAAACGCTCTAAAATAAATGATTTTTCTTCCTCTTCTTCAGATGAAGAGAAACAAATAATAGTACTCCATGAAGCTAAAAAACAAATCATTGATATACCATGGAGTTCAAGAGGCATTTTTGAATTACTAGAAGTACTTTCACTATCTGTGTGAAGAATTGATTCCTATTTTGCATAGAAAAAAACAATAATAACAGTGATAATAATAATAGTAGTAATAAATTGGGAGTGATTGGTCTATTTTGGGATCAAAAAATTGAATCTTCTATCTGGTTTTTAGCAACTGGTGACAGTTTTAGATAGATAAGTGAGAAATTGGGATTTGGTGAGACAACAGTGATATGTACATTTCAAAGTTTTTTGGATGCAATTATTGAAAAGATTTGATAAGAGAAAATGAATTCTTAAAAAATCTAAATAAAAATTTCTACTCAATAATTATTGGTCAAATTCTTCCACTTGGTTAAACATTGAACATCACTATAAAAATGTTCCCAAATGACCAAGTATGCAGATGCATTCAGCCAAAAAAGTACATTAGGTTTAGACCCTACTCCACGAGTTGTTTTTAATTTTTCAAGTTCTTCCTTATTGTTTTCAAGAAAAGTAAGTAGAGCTTTCAGTAGCTGAATCATTCCATTGGACACATTGTTTATAAATATGGGTTTTGTTGTTGAATTAACAAATTTGTTTCCAAAATGCTATTAATACCCATTTTTCTTTTATTTTTTAAAAAACATATCTAATAATATTATTGTCACTGTTATTGTTTTTTCTTTGCAAAATAGGAATCAATTCTTCACACAAACACTGAAAAGTACTTCTAGTAATTCTTGAACTCAAATTATCAAAAGATAATGCTAACCCTGCAAGAAATCGTGTTATTTTTTACAAAAGTTTAAAATTTGATTGGTAAATCCTATTCAGAGGATAAGATCTATTTTTAATAGTAAAATAAATCTTAATCAAATCCTAAAATTAGATAAATTTTGATTGGCAAATTTATGAGGTAGTATACATTACTTTTATTTTGTCCACCAGCATTATTACAAGTAATCTTTAAATGTTTTTCACCCATCAAAAATCATGCTAAGAGTTCCATTAGGACCTTTCCTATAATTTTGTCTTCATCAAGAACATAATTAATTTGCTCCTTTACCACTTCATCTTGGACTCGATCATAACTGTAATGAGCAGTAGCATCAATACTGCAATATTGTGTTTACTTTTTAATAATTTTGATTAACTAATTTTCTTTGTTCTTCAGCTAATTTTGTATTTTTATTATGACAATGTCTTTCTAATCTGGCCTTGGACAGATGCTCCTCTTGGCAAGCATTGTAATGTAAACCATTTTTAAAATGTTGACAAGTATCACACAAATCAGTCCTGAGGCTCATAATTTGAATCTCTGGTTCAATTGATGTCATAACCTTCTAAATGCATCATACTTCAAAGTCTTCAAATTACTATCTTCTTTCAGACCAGCCATAAAATCCTTGTGCACTGATTTCAGCTGGTAAGAATGTAGCTAATTGGATTATTCTATTGATACTTCTTTGTGGACTTGGTAATCCATGAACTTTAGCATAATTTTCCAAAAAATTCTTTACCACTTCAACAATACTTTTGTCAATCACCATCTTTTGTTTTCCATTGAGGCATTCTTTTAATATTACCATGAACTCTTGTAGAGGACCATGGTTTATTGGATGATTTATGATATTTTCTACCAATTAAGGTTTCTGGTCCAAACTGTTTTCTCAAAGCCCAAACTAGTTTGGGCAATTTGGGCTTCTCAACATTTTCTATAAGCATGAACATTAAAAAACTATATGAATCAACTTGTTTTAACTTAAACAACTTTAAAATAATTTCGCCCAATTTCGGCTAATAACAAAAAGTAGTTTGGGCTTATAAAAAAATAATTTTTGCCCAAAGTATTTGGGCAATTTCGGCTACTAGTAGAAGCAGTTTCGACCAGAAACCTTACTACTAATCCCTAGCATATTGAGATAAGTTCTTGTTTTTCAATGGAATTGTTATAATGTTTTGTAAAATATGGCAGATTCTGTGGATAATGTTGCCAAAAAAAAAAATATAAATATGCCCATTTATTTCAAGGTATAAAAGTATGAGAATCAAAATATTTTTAATGATCTTAAGTGCAATTAAGCTTGTGGGCGAAACCTCCATAGTAATTGCTGAAACCATGGCAAAACTATATTAAATCTTATCAAAAATCCTGTTGAAACTATGCCGAAATGGCAAAACCTCAAAATGTGAAACTCTGCTGAAACTCTAATAAACAATTAATGTGTAACCTGCTGAAACCCTGCTGATTGATTTCTGGAGGAGTTTTGGCAAGCAACCTTATTCATGAATTTTTTTATACTGATAAAAATATAAAGATAATCAGAACAATTATCTTGCAATCTGTAAAGGATGTACAACAAAAAAAGATTCAATAATGCTAAAACAAAAATTTCAAAATTTCAAACACAATGAAAAGCATTGGGAAACACTTGTTAGATCATGAAAATTTTAAAGCTTGCTATTCTGATAAAATTGAATTTGTAGAAAATCATCTTGAAATAATCAAACAAAAAGAATTGCAAAATAGATCAAATGATCTAGTAAATATTTAACAATTTAATTAATAAAATTACTAGAATAATAGATGAGAATTTTTTTTATATATGTATACATATATTTATTTACATATTAATATATATATATGATTAATTGTATTAGGTGATACTGGTATTATTAATGTCGAAGATAATATTTTTTCAGAAATTTCTACTTTTAAACATGTAAGAAATGATTCTACAACAAACCAATCAACATTAAATCATTATCTTGGTAGGCCTTTACAACCAAGTGAACAACAAATATTTGAAATGTTATTGTTAAGAATGACAGTCTCTATTGGCTAGTCATTCCAATGGGTAGAAAATGAAGAAACAATTGCTTTCTTTAAATTTGTTTACCCATTAAAAATTTTAAATTTTTTCTTTACAAATTTTGTGAATAAAAATAAAAAATTCCATTGGCTGAATTCCTTTAAATTCCAGTGAAAAAGACTGGAGCACCAGAACACTGGAACAATGGAACACATAATTCCAGATTCCGAATTCCATTGCATAACAACACTGGTTGGTACCATTCCAGTAATTTCTAATCATTTCACCTTTATGTGGCCAACTGGTGAGAATGAAGGAATTATAGAAGCTTATGAAATACCAAATTATGGAAAATCAAAAATATATTCAGTTTCTGATATAAAAAACTTCTCAAAAACAATGATATATATAAATCAACCTAACTCAATAGCCATTGACCAAACAAGTGCTCAGTTAGAATGGAAATGAATATATCTTCACAATTAATTCATATATTCAAACATTAACAGCCTCTGAAGTAAGATCCAAACTTCAAGAAAAAATTTTGAATTCCTCTGGAGGTAAATCAGTCATAAAACAGAGATTGGATCAATTTACTAATTTTGAGCCAATAAATATTACATTATTTCAAATGATGACTTAAAAAATTTATTGCATAAAAATTTAATATCTGGATTTGCCCTAAGGAGTAAACAAAAGTTTGGAAAAAAAGGTGGTAAAAGACTAAATTTAAATGCAATTGAAAAATTGAAAGAAATGTTCCTGGCTGGTAATATAGAGAAAAGTAATAAATTCTCACCAGAAGATATGTTGAAACAACTTGAAAAACATGCTGAAAACAATGAAATAAAAAGCTGATAATCTTCCCACTCTCCAACAAATTAAATCGTGGATATCTCAATTTAACCATCATCACAAAAAACAAGCAGCTGAAGTTGCTAGCACTGGCTCTAATTAATGTAAAATTATCTTTCACATATATATTAAAAATTGTTATTTAATGAAAAAATTAAATATTATGTATAATAAATGTTTTTAACTTACCTTAAAGCCTTGAAAAATGTTTTTTTTATTTATATATAATTGTAATTTTAACAACAATAATAAAAATAAATGCTTTATTTTAACAATGTACTTTTTATATGCAAGATGATGGAGGTAATCAGTCTGAATATATTTGATAAACAAGTTGAGTAAACCACCTACCTCCAAGAATAAAGTCTTGTTTTTTTCTTTTTTATGATTGTAATTACTAATAGTGTTCCATGTTGCAACCAAAAAAAGGAAACAAAATGGTCATAAAGGTGGTTGCAATCATTTTTATATGATGCAAAGATGGTAGCAACCGTCACCAAAAGTTGCAGCCGGTATTCTTAATTACTAATTAGAATCCAATATTTAATGTAATAAATGACAAACATTACATGTAAAAATATATATGAAAATTCTCTAAATCAACAGGTACCAAAGAATATCTATTTTTCTTCACTTGATTAAAGGCAATAAAAAAATTATTTATATATTCTTTGGGATATGTTTTATTTGTACATTAAAAAAAAATTATGTAGTGGGAATTAAGATTGTGGGCAAAACTCCTCCAGAAATCAGGGGTTTTGTGTATATACTAATTGTTCGAGTTTTGAAAGAGATTTGACAGTCAAAGAGGTTTTAGCAAGCAACCTTAAGTGGAATAAAAGTATAGTACATGCAAAGGTATTTAATTAGTCATTTTGCGTCAATTTTTCTCTATGTATGACTCTCTCATTTATTCATGGATCGTCAATTATTATAGCCGATTTTTCCCGTTCATTGAATGATCGTCAATAATCACGCGTCCAGTCTTTCCTTTCTGGAAATCACATGATTGCGCAAATTTTTTTGATTGTAAATTTTTTCTCAAAGCTGTTGCCAAAGTACAGTAAATTGTGGGACTAGGCTTTTTTTTAAAAGTTACATTCATTTGTTATAAATAAAAAAAATTATGCATATACAAATAAATCAATAATTATTATTTGTCAATCATATCCAAATCATATATACTACAATACAATTTCTTAAATAGGAATAAACACACTGGTCTTGGGGAAATCCTTGCTCCCAGTAAAAAAAAATGAATGAGGGTATTTTTTTCTTAGAAAATAACTATTTTAAAAATATGTAGTATTTTTACATCATATTTAATAATTTGCTTTATAATAAAATGGGGCATACTGCAACAAAACCAGACAAAGTGAACATTGGTATTACCAAGGATTTCAGGGATCAAAATTTAGTCATTTGTAATGTGATTATAATTATATATCAGTTTTATAATATTCCATTTGTTATCTTAAGTGATATACAGAACTACCCCTATATAAAAATAATTAATATGAAACTCATTTACATCAGATCTACTATGGAACCCAAGAATTATAGTACCATTAGAAGTATTCTGAAGAAAGAACAAGGTGAAAAAATTGCTCCTTACATTTTCAAAATAAATGATACTCAGACACTGGAAGCTTATCTAAAAAAAGAAAAGCAGAGTGAAAGTGTACTATTACCCAACAAAAAGCCAAAATCTTTAAAAGGAAAATAGCTACCATTTGATAGTTGGAATGAATTTCAATTTATACAAAGGGAAATTTCCTCAATTACTTTTTTATTTTCAATCAAGATCATCTTTTAGTCTCTTTGACTTCAATTTGAGCAGTT